TTGGCTTGCCCGATACCAGCACTATGTTCGTAGATCGCTCAGAAAACACTACTCGAGTTAATCATATCTAGAATTTTAAACTTGACTTGAGTTTGGTTGGATTCGAAAATTTAAGGAGCTCAATTAAAGTCTCTTTATTTTAGGTTCGGGACCCATAAGCTGATTCGCGAGCCCTGATGTGAAGGTATATACACATATTATATACTTCGGGTATAATATTTATATTCAATTTTATATATAATAAACTTGAAACATTTAATTTGGGGTTATTCTATTTTCAATACTTATTATTATGTATATTATACAGAGTAATAGGTAATAATTATACATGTAGTATATAATTATTTATATAGTGCCCGTTTGATAGCCATGATTTTTGGCTTTTCAGGTTTATAAGCCAACTTTTTCACCAAACACGTAACTTTTGGTTTTACGGGCTCAATTGTGTAATAATAAGAAAAGTAATGTTGGAGTTACTTTTCGGGTTGTATTGGCTGAAGTTACTGTAGATGGCCATTTTAGCTATTTTTCATACGGAGTATATTTTTTACTTTATTTTATTAATAAAATGTATTTTAATTTATTATTTTTCATGAATCACCAGAATCAGCCAATACAGCCGATTCGGCTATTACCAAACGGACTCATAACTATACAACAACAATATTTATTAAGGAGTATTATTATTATAGCCATACAACAACATAAGATATGATAAAAGAATAAGATAAAAATGAATGTAAGATAAAATAACATATATATAAGAAAGATAAAATGTAATATTAATAATTTGGAAGATAGAAATTTTATTTTTAGCTCATAAACTGGCTCGAGATCAAATCAAGCTCGAGCTATTATATATATGGAGCATCTTATTTGCATTGAGCTCAGTCCCGTTCGAGATCGAATCAAGCTTGAGCGAAGCTCAACTCGAGTTCAAGATCGAATTATTTACCTCTTTCAAACTCGAGTTTGTGAATTCTTATCAAGTTCGAGCTCCAATACACTCATGTTCGGGCTCAGTTTGGCATTTTCCACCGCTACCCGGTATGCTTTCCGTCCATATTTTGATTTCATATATTCTCATACCATATTTAATTCCTATTATTAGACATAGTAAAAGAAATCATAATATATACTATGAGGTTATAATGCTAAACTATCTTGTATAAATGTAAAGTATGAATACAAGAAATTTCATCATATGGAAAAAGAATAATGCTTAATGTACATGAGTTGTACACAAAGTGTATGTACACAAAATCTCCCTAATTGTCTGTGTACATAGACAATTCGTTTAAACAATGGACAAGATTTTATACCAAACCCACCCTAATTGTCTGTGTACACAGGCAATGTACAAATTTTGTGTACACTTTGTGTACACCAAGAATGACCCATAAAAAAAAAACCGTTATAAAACAACCAATTTTGCAGAGTAAAAGGTCAGTTTGGTACTCCAAGTTACATAAAAAGAGTCAAATAAGTCCTTATATAGGAGGCTCTGACTGGCCGTCGTCATATGGGGCGGTTCCTGGTAGTATTTTTTGACGAAATGTTTTGAGCATCTTATACATTAAGTCTAGTTTACTCATACCAAATTTCAGCTAAAACTTCAATCGGGAAGGCATTCAAATGAATTCTTAAAGATAATTGCACAATTAAAAGCGCAGTTATCTTCAAGAATTCATTTGATTGCCTTCCCGATTGAAGTTATAGCTGAAATTTGGTATGAGTAAACTAGAGTTAATGAATAAGATGCTAAAAAAAATCATCAAAAAATCCCACCGAAAACCGCTCCAAATGGTGACAGCCGGACAGTAAGGACTTATTAGACCTTTTTTATGCAACTTCGAGTACCAAACTGACCTTTTACTCCAATTTTGCATCTAACTCAATTTTGCAAATTGCAAAGGACAGCTCTATTGCTCTAAATGCCCTCCTCTGTCCACCTCTTAGTGCACTGTAAATATAAATTGTGTTTGTTTTCTCTCTCAAATTTATGCAACTTTCTACGGAGTATCATTTATATGCATTATAAGTGGAAGTTTCAAAACTCAAAAAAATCCAATCTGAAAGTATAACCTAAACTTTTGTGATGACAAATAATCTAGAGCTAATTCACACAACTTGGTTCATTTTTTCTCCAACTTGCATGCTGCACTGCTAATGATGATTAGCAGTATTTGTTAAAGTATAACTGTATAATTAAGGTACAATTATATAAAACCAAAGAATGATGATTATCTATAGATGAAGGCATTTAACATGAAAGCAATATTTGTTAAAAGTTAGGATGAGCAATATTGGTAAGCTATACTTAAAAAAAAACAATTACAACAATTAATACTTGAAGTTGGTGTTACTTAACAATCTCCTAATCTACAACCTTTCCTCTGTATTTTTTCATTAACGATTATTATATATCTAAAAAAGTTTCCTACTTAACCGCAGATTTGCAGACAAAATCAGCACTGCCTCTACTGCTTTCAACAAATTAAGAAAGATATCCCATTAAGAAAGACAAAATCAATTCAAGAAGAAGAAAAATGGCTGGAACTGATAAAGTGAATCAACAGAATCAAGATCTAGTACCAACTGGAAAATTAGGTAAAATAATGCCAGTACTAGAAGCAATGAGGCGTCCACGTGGCAGGCCGGCTGGGTCAAAGAACAAGCCGAAACCGCCAGTTATCATCACGCGCGACAGCGCGAACGCGCTTAAAGCACACGCGATGGAGGTCAGCTCGGGCTGCGACGTCAACGAGAGCCTCCTGAGCTTTGCCCAGAGAAAGCAACGGGGAATATCCGTCCTGAGCGCCACGGGGTCCGTCACAAACGTGACATTGCGTCAACCGGCATCCTCCGGGTCAATCGTGACCCTCCACGGGAGGTTCAAAATCGTATCTTTGGTCGGCTTGATTCTCCCGCCTCCGGCTCCGCCGGGGGTGACAAGGCTGACCATATACCTTGCCGGAGTGCAGGGGCAGGTGGTGGGTGGGAGCGTGGTTGGTGCACTTATCGCCTCCGGTCCGGTCGTGATCATGGCCGCAACTTTCTTGAATGCCACTTATGATAGGCTGCCATTGCTTGATGATGACCAACAAGTCATTTCCACGGCCAACCAGGCAACCACCACCACCAAAACGGCGGCGGGCATCAGAATGTGGAGGTTTCCGACATATATGGGTTGCCACAGAGTCTGATTAGTGGTGGCGGTGCTTTACACCAGGTTTACACTTGGGCACCGCCTAAGAACTTGTCAAAACCATAGATGCTGCTAAGAACTTGTCAAAACCATAGCTGCTGCTAAGAGAATTGATACTCTCCTAGACTTTCATTAATGTTCTTAATTTATTTAGATTTATTTTACTTCTCATAGCTAAATAAGAAAAAATGTATCTATATGGTAATCATTCAATGTATCCTGTTATTATACCTACTTATCCTATGTTTAACAGATTAATTATGATGTTCAATTAGAAATGGATGTGGGATCCAAATCATCCAATGTACTTTTCTTCAATATCAAGCTGAAACAAAAGCTTTTGTACACGGCCGGTCCTATCGATTTTTGGGCCTATGGGCGAGATATTATTTGGGCCTATGTTCAAGACAAAAACTGATCTCTAAAAATCGATCAACGAAACAGGACCCACCAAAAGTTATTCTTTTCACTTAAATCACAATTATCTGGCTCAATTTCACTATTGCGGCTTCTGCACCTATATCACTATTTCCAAGCATGTTATGGTTTTCACTCACAAAACAATTTAGCGGCAATTCAACTTGAGAAGAATTTCCAGGATTCAATTTCTTAACAAAAACAAAATTTTCCATTGCCCCTGTCTTACTTAAGGCTGCATTTTCTAATCTTTGTCTCTTTTTCTCTTTTTCCTAACCAGATTCACCCATTTTATCAAACACCTTCACAATAGTAAAACGAAATAAAGGAATTCAATTCAAAATTGCACAATACCAAACAAATATGAATTTACCAAGACACCAAAAATGCATCATATAGAAATCATTAATCATAATTCATAAATCAAAAGAACATTTAGTGGATTTATTATTCATAGGTAATATAGATTGGGAATAATTTACTGGCCTTTGTCAGATTGTTTGAAGCCTTGACAGAAGAAGGTGTTCTAATCGCCGGCCGCTGTTTGGGCTCCTCACCGCTGACCGCTTTGGCTAATGGTGATTTGCAGGCTTGCGGTGCTCTCTAATGTCTACTCTTGTGCAAGACGACCAAGACCTTATTAAACATTAGTCCTTTAGTTCATTAGATAATTGAGTTTAATTGGAACTTGAAAGGCACCGTCCAGGAAATTAATTAGGTTAGTGGGATGGGGTGGTTTATGAATCGGGAGTTTGGGAGACACACGGGTTGTACAAAGAGTTAGAGCCAATAAATATTTTGGTAATTTTGTAATTAAAAGAATTATAAAGCTTAGAGATGTGAAGATACTTAACTACTCAAAGAGGCATGCCACACGCCTTTTAACTTGAGCTTAAATTAAAAAAGAAACTTACTCACACTATATATAAACACAATTTTTTGGGCCTATTTTTCCCCTCTATTTTTTCGGGCCTAGGACAGTCGCCCCTGTTGCACCCCTAGGACCGGCCATGCTTTTGTATAAGGTTTTGTACTAAGTTAATTGTCTTATTGGAACATAATGTACTTTAAATAGTTAAAAATTATGTAGAAATGAACATAATTGGAAATGCACATTGAAATCAAACCCAGAGATGATATTTTCGATCTTAATGTTTCATTCGCTTATTATTCTTCGAAATTTTTGGTGTACGAAGAAATATCATATGGTGTGATTTTTTTTTGTCCAAACTTTCATTCCAATAAAACGAATACATAAATATTGATGCCAAAACAAAGTTCACAAATCAAATGCAATTTCTTTCTCTATTAACTTACCCGTGCATTTGATTTTTTTTACAATCACCATTTTTTAATAAACAAAGAGCTGGACAAAGTTTTGGTAGAGCTAGAATTAAGCACATAACAAGTGTAGAACTGTACAATATATGTCAAATACCTTGTGGTTTGATGATATTAGTGTGATACTCTCAAAAGGAGGTAACGAGTTTGATTTTATCTCAATAAAATGTTGATATTATCATTGAACAAATACTACTCTGTGTAATAGATTAGAGGTATATAAAAAGGACTGTAGGGTATATAACACTATTAACTACTATGTATATTATTATTCACGTATACAGACTAAAAATATACTATGGTGAGAGATATGGAGTCCGAGGTATCTCAGTGGATGATGGTGGCATTAGGACTGGGGTGCGGCGGTGAGTGAAGTGCCACCGGTTTTAAGGGCTTGCATTGGTAGCACTTGGCGAAAAGCCCAAAGGTGTCTACCTGTTTGATAAAATTGGAGATGCTAGCCCACCCTCCGAACCCAAACCCAACAATCAAAACCCAGCCCACAACAAAGATGTTCACTGCGTACATGGCCGTCCAGCTAGGCAGAAAGAATGGAGGCTTTTCTGCAGCATTCTGCACCCAAAATGCATCACAATTATCATAATTCAGCTTATTATCATCCATGACTTGATAATACTTCACGAATTACTGATTATGATTAGCTTAGATAATATCGATCGATACAACTCCATTGAACAAAAATATGACCTTTTGGAATGCTATTAGTCTATTATTACTAGACACTATTTTTGGAAAAATTTCAGCAAGTAATAGATCTGTCATTAATTTTCTTAGTTAAATTTCCACATATTCAATAAAGAAATTTCCACATCTTTATTCTCATTATAGGACTCACATGCTCTTAATAAGAAACTTTCACATAATCACATCACATCTCTTAATTCCCTTATGCACTTTGGCGGAAAAGAGCCAGTATTATTCTAAGGGGTTCACATGAATTCTCAAATTTTTGAAAAACATGTATGTAAGTGTAAATTTATTATAATTATTGATTACTCTTTAAATTTCTAGTTGTAAAATAAACATTGAACACCAAAGCTTTAAATTCTAAATCCGCCACGGGTGGCAGATCAATGCAGGCATTTCTGAAGGAGAGGCGGTAATGTAAAAAATACACACTACACCCTTCGTATCTCTTTGGGACGTATCATATTAATTGTCTCATTTCCCTTTTTGGAAATAAACTCACTCAAAAAACAGCTACAGTACTGCTACAGTACCGGTACATTACCAAAAACTTTTACTTTTCATAAAATCTACAGTAATTATCTTAAACTGCATAAAAAGAAAATGGGTCAATTAATTACATACGGAGGGAGTACTATATATAGATATATTAAAATGCTGCAGTAATTATATTTAGTAGAAAAAATTGGGGACTGGTCCTCACTTGTCCCCCTTTGTGTCCGCCACTGGTACCGTACACGTTAATTGATCGAATGCAGTCGCAATGAAATTTTTAATGCTAGTCAATATGACATGTTCCGCAAGAATATACTTTTTTGACTAATATTCTCTTACCACTCAAAACGGTTTTAATTGAAATGAAATTTTACGATATGGATCTAAGATTGAAATCATCCTATTAAAAACACATCCAATATGCAGACAAAATGCCGATGGCATATTGAGATAAGGATCTATTTCTTTTAAATATTCTCATATTCAATTATTCATCTTACTTTAGAGAGAAGAATTGGGGAAATATTTTCATAGCATGTAAACTAAGAACCTGTTTGGTGACCCTATGCTTCGTCTTATCAGACAAATAAGCAATATTTTTCATCAAACACGTAATTTTGATTTCGCGTACTGAATTGTGTAATAATAGGGAAACAGAAAGGTTGAAATTATTTTTTTGTCTGTATTGACTAAAATTACTGGAGATAATCATTTTAGTTTTTTTTATTAATAAAATATATTTTAATTATTTTTTTCATAAATCAGCGGAATCAACCAATCCAACCATTTTAGTTAGAACATTATAAATTTTAGCTCTAAATAATTCTCCATAAAAGTGAAATATTGAAGAAAACCTTTCTATGGGACCGGAGGATATGTACTCATTTCATGATAAGGAGCATAAATGGAAGGCCAGCTCTTCCTAAAGGTAATGTGGGGTTTAATGCACTAAACACCTTTGTGATACAGAAATTCAGCGTATTAGCCCCACTGTGATTTAAAAAATGAGTCAAATCTCCTTGTGTTTTAATTAATCGTGCGCAAAATCCCTTCTATTAACAAATTTAATTGTCAAATAAAAGAAAAATGATTAACACTTTTGTGAGATTACTGTGCCTAGCGAGAGGTCTCGAGTTCGAAACCTGCTAGGCACATAAGGGTTTGAAACTCAATGGAGTGAGTTTCAGCCCCCAGCCCCCCTCCCCCAGACCCCCCGGAGTGAATTAGACATATTTGCTTGCATATTCAATCAGAATATTACAAAAAGTGATTTTCAAATCATTAAAATTATTCATAAAGGGGGTTTTGTGCATGATTAATTAAAACACAAGGGAGTTTGACGCATTTTTTAAATCACAGGGGATTAATGCGCTGAACTTCTATATCACGAGGAGGTTTGGTACATTAAACCCAGGTTGGCAGGTAATGTGACACTGGCACTGTAGCAGATATGTACGGATTACGGAAAGGAAGGCACGTTAGATAAATACTCAGCATGGAGGATTGCCAAATCAGCAAAATAAGAAGCTTCTAGTTACAACCGTTAGTCAGTTAGTAGTTAATAGATACAGTTAATACTTGTATTCGTTTCTAGAGGTTGTATATATAGAAAACCTAGCAAATACGAATTTGCAGCTTGTTGATGAATTTCCCTGTAATTTGTCTTGATCTCAATTCTAAATAAAGATGACTGTTCGAACTCTATTCTTGATGTTGGAAAAATGTGTGAAAAATTGCATGAAATGGCTATTTTGGGGAAATTTTTTGAGTGGGGTCCACTTCCTATTTGGGTCGGGTCAAAGTGGTTTCGGATTGTCCTTGTTAAGGGCTACAATTCGATATATGGTACGCTCAAAACGGATAACGGGTGAATGAGAAATCGCTTTTCGAAGTTTACCCGTTAGAAGGGAAAAAGGATGAGTTTCTAGTGTGTTAATTTCCCACACTGGAAAACCCAAGTGATTTGCAACCCTTTATAAAGGGACTCCCCCCTTAAGGAGTTAAGATTCCTAAGGGTAAAGGCTCTCTCCACGCGCACGCGCGGGGGGGGGGGGGGGGGGGGGGGGCAAATCAAATCCCGAATTCGGAGAAGAAAAACCGAGACTTGCGTGCGCGGGCGACCTGCGGACACGGATGTCGTCCAAAAATCCATCTCTCAAGAGATACGATTAATTTTTGTTTTCTTCCCGAAACGTTTAATTTTTTCCCAGTGGCAGAAGTGCTCGGACAGAAGCCTACGGATCAGAACACCTCGTTACAGAACCCCTCAGGGGTCTTCTGATGGCAGAACCCCTTCTGGGGGTCTTCTGATTGGCCTCCGATCAGAACCCCTCCCAGGGTGTTCTGGTGGAGGTCTTCTCTCGCGCTCCTGAAACGTTACAACGATTAATGTCCAACGTTCTTATCTTTTAATGCAGCGTTAAATGGACAGTTCATGGACGATTCAATGCCCAACGGACTGGTCATTGATGTCCAACGTTCAGGTCAATTAATTCATCATTTACACACAACAAATCCTCCTATATAATGGCTGGCAGGTGGTTTGCAACAACACACGAATTCATACACTCCAAGCACCTTTTGCATCCCTAAAAACACACTGCTAGCATTCTGAAAAATTCCTCTGTGTTCATACTGTGTTCTCGTTCGCTGGAACTTTTGTTTGTGTGCTCAAACATTAGTTCGTAGTCATCGTATCCTGGGAAACGATTGTTGCAACGCTCCTAGCACTGTGGGAGGCAACAAATACGTTTTAAGGAAATCGTGCGTAGCACGAGCTTTGACTAATTCTGCTTCATCTCCTTTCTTGTTTTTCTCTTGTCATTTTATTTAATTAATTTATTTTAATTAATCTTCTTTATTTTCCGAAACACACCCAACACTTGATTCCTTAGAATTCATGCAGTTATTTGATATAATTCCTCGATTAATTCCTGGAATTATACCAATTGGTATCAGAGCTTCTGATCCAGAAAGACGCCAATATGCCATTAGTGATATTCCAAGCTTCCGCCATCTTCAACCTGGCGAAGAAACTTACAGTTGCAGCTTTATCGTTAATCATGGGAGACAAGGTTGCAACACTTGAACGCCAATTGGAGGAGCAAAAATTGAGCAACGAGCAAAAGTTATGAGAGACACACAAAAAATTAGACGCTCTTCTTCTCATGTTGCAAAAACTTGCTGAGGAAAAAGGAGCACCCTCCAACCACTAGATTCATGCTCAGTCTCACCCGGATGGTTACACGCCACACAATTATGGAGGCAATCAATTCATAAATTTGGGATTCATTCCCAAAATAGAATTTCCAACCTTCTCTGGTAGTAACCCTAGAACATGGATTCAGAAATGTGCTAAATAATTTGAACTATGCTAAGTTGAGCATAATCAAAAGGTGGATTTAGCTTCATTATACATGATTAATCGTGCTGAAGCTTGGTTTAACAATTACATTTCTATCCGAAAAACTGTGAGCTAGGAGCAGTTTGTAATCGATGTATGTGCTAGATTTAGTGAAGAACTGAGGAGTAGTGTGGTGGAAGAATTTAATAAGCTGCAACAAGTGAATAGTTTAGATGAATATTTGGACAAATCTGAGAATCTGAAGAGTCTCATGTTGCAGAGGAATGAATAGTTGTCTGATGAATTTTTCTTAGACAGCTTTAGTGGAGGTTTGAATCCTACTATCAAGCATTTTGTTAAGGCCTTCAAGCCTAGAAACCTATTGAGAGCCGTGGAATATGCTAGATTACCGGAGAGTAGCTTAAATGCCCTGAAAAATGCGAACAAATCTCAAATGGACAGATCTGCCTTCAAGAGTTATGTACCAAGTACTAGCTCAACTTACAGGCCCTCCTTCTCTCAAGCTCCTTCTAAGACAATTGGATTACTTCCTAAACCTAACTCAGCATTCTCACAATACAAAGGAACTAATGGTATTGGAAGACAATTGGATTACTTCCTAAACCTAACTCAGCATTCTCACAATACAACCACCTGACATTGAGGAGAGAAGAAAACAGAATTTGTGCTTTCATTGTGATGATCAGTACTATCCGGGACATAAATGTAAAGCTCAAATATACAAGATATAGATTCTTCCGCTAGAAGAAGAGATTTATGAGGAAGAAGATCATGAAGTAAGTGATCCGGGAAACAATAATGAAGACAATGGAGATAATAATGTAGGTGCTTGCATTCCAGAAAGTCAACCCATTATATCTTTAAATGCTCTCTCAGGATTTCACAACTATCAAACTATGAAGGTCACAGGAAAGGTGAAGAATAATGAGTTGCACATACTCATTGACTCCTGCAGCACCCACAACTCTCTGGACGAGAACACAGCAAATGGAGAGAAAATTGTCAC